AATTATTACACGAATAATGCGCGTTTCAACGACGCGACATGAATATTCTCGATTAATTTCCAGCAGAGCAATTCAATATTGCCGGCGCCGTGTCTGTCGCGCGATACACGCTCTTTATAATATTTTTTCCCCCTCCGCGTCCCTTTTATTTCGCCGCTAATTTGATCCGAACCGAATTTCATTGTATACGTTTGGTCACTCGAACTCGAAACCACAGACGACCGTCCCTTTAACTATATAATTCATATAAATTATTCGCGATATTGGATTACGTTCGTCACGTTAGTCAATTGATGCCGCCAATGTAATATTCAACGTTTACTCGCATTCACCGATGGATCTGATCGGAAATTGCCAACGAGAGTTACATTTACCTCTTTTGTGGTTTCTCTTAGATACAATGAAAATAACAGAAATTATTAATATTCCCCGTTTCTCTGCGACGCTGGTTTTAAATGACGGTGTAGACGACAGATGTCAGTCCCCCCCTCCCCCCCCGATACGATATGATATTTCTCCGTAATATGACAGCGATATAATTGAATTAAGCGCGTTCTGTTATTTATTTTCGCCGCGTAGAGTCGAACGGACGGAATTCTGTTCGAGAGACGAGGCTTTTTAGAGCTAGTCCAGCGAGGGAAAGCTTAGACGCTGAAATTGAATTTAGACTTTCAAATTAAGCTGCTTTTTTCCGAGGCTCACGGTCGTCGTATTAATTGAAGGATACTCGTGAAGGATATTCGAGCAGAGAAAGGCCAAGTTTTTTTTGCGAGCTATCGTAAAACACACCGTGTTGAAACGAGAGCTGCCGCGTGCATAAGTATCAACCGAGCATAAATTTAACATTCGAGAAAATGTTACACGTAGGTGTTTGCATTTTAAGCATTATTATGCATTTAGTTCCAGTCCGGGCGCCTGGGTTTATGTTTTCAGCTTAGTGGATTACATATCGAATAATTATATTACATAAATAACAAGAATTTCAACTAGAACTACCAAGACAAACTTTAAAATAAATTGTGAGAAATTAGGAGAAAGATTTCTAAAGTCACGCATAGTTAATTGTATTTTTCTAAAAATATTAACAAGGAAATATCAATTAAAAGATATTTGCTCTGAAGGGTAACGGTGTAGTTGTTTAGCAGCGATGTAATTATTTTTTTGCTACGTTTAGAGTACAGGAAAAATATATCCTGAAACGATTCGATGTTCGGGTCGCTACCCTCTTTTTGCACAATATATTCAGCAAGAATTATCGCCGGAACAAGAAAAAAGTTAAGCTTCTGTGCTGCAGGAATAAAAGGAAAACTAATAAAGATGAATAGAAAGCGAGATTACGAGATCTAATTGCTAATTGCAATTGCCCATCTATTTTCTTTTCAAAAGAGCAGGCATTAATATTTGCGCGTATTTTTCAATTATTTAATTATAACAGAAAGGATTTCATTGTATATTAAAAAAAGGGAAGGGAAGGGTGTTATTTTCTAAATTATAAATATTTATTATAAAACGTATTTTTACTGATTAAAAAACCTGATTTTAGCTTTTGTATTTTTACTTTCATTCTGTAACATCGAGTCAGAAAATAAACAATGGATACTACAGGGTGTATCCTTACTTCTGTCGTAAAATGTACAAAACATATTCCGCGTCTCAAAGCGAGCAAAAAAGTTTGAACCCACCACGATCGTGTAAACATACAGCCACTTCAATTCGACGAGCCACACTTTCGGAACTTTTAGCCTGAACGTTGCGTTCGTTAAAAATAAATGAGAATAATTAGGGATTAACGAAGGTAAACAAGTCGAGGGATAAAAGAAAACGGGAAATACGGTGTTCACTTTCTTGTTTCATCTCGTAAGCTGCGTATAAAAGAAGCACAATGGAGGGTTCCTTTTTCCCCTGATTTTATGTTTCCCCGGCCGTTTCGGCGTTCCAGTAAATTTTAATACTGTATCTTTTCCGAACATGGCGTACATTTGGTACTACGGGCTCTGCACGACTAACGACCCCACGAGTCTTTCGCGGAAAATGAATCTACGTTGATGCGATTTTAATAACGGGAAAGTGCCTCCTCTTACCTCCGATATTATCTAGTTACCAGCTTTTTGCCGTTAGTTTAGGGCAAGAACGATTTGCCCCTAACTCTGTCATCCCCATCCTCCATCTTGTTTCCAAGAAATTACGTGGACCGCCGGCATCTCGTAGAATAAAATGAAAATTTCTTTCCTCGGCGTTACTTTCATTCGTAGGGTCATATACAGGTTGTTCGGTTAATTTTGTTACAAGAAGTTTGTTTAAAACGAATTAACGCTATTCGCCGTAACTTTCTTAATGAACTTCATGGTATGAAGAGGTCTTTGGTTTAACGAAGGCGTATCTTAAGCTTCTTAAATGGAGTTGTTAATCTTCTAGTAGTTTCACTGAAAATTGTAAGATTGATGGCCCGGTGTCTACCTGACCCGAAATGTAATTTATGGAAATTTAGGCGATATACGCTCTCGGGTTCTTATTCTTTATGTATTGGAATTTTAAAATTGTTCATTGTTCGATTCGAAAAAAGTATATTCAAGAACTCTCGAAATGAATATATTTTGTTATATATTTTTGTACTAAAAATTACATGTTCATTTCCTACTTGAAACTGTCAGGAGTTTTCTGTCATCGAGAAATGTGTTTTAAAAATTGTTAATTTTCGCGTTCGCAAAAATCCAGATTTTTGACTCACGGTTGAGATACAGCGATGAATTAAGGGCAGAACGTACGCTGGTCGCAAAACCGGTATTATCTGTGAAATTTATTTTTCGCCGCGTTGAGTGCGTTTTAAACGAAAACCGTGCACCCTTAATAAATCAACCGGATAATTGTTAATTGGCCTGCGTTTATTCGTCAGCACGCATCGCGTGTGTAAAACCTTCAGCGAAATAAATATTAATGTTTCGTAGGGTGAGATTTATTGAATTGTGAACGAGCCCCGTGTTATTAATAATTAATAATTCATAACGTTTATGGGTTTACAAGAGCGTATTCTACTTATTAAATCCATTCTTCGTCCTTCGATCTGGCTTTAATCAGATCATTTCCGCGTCAAGGAAATTCATACCGTGCAATGTAAAACTACAGATAAAGTAAAAAATACTAATATATCTTTATACACACTGTATATATTGAACTAATTTCATGAAACATTATCAAATTATTATATTTTAAGAACTGCAGATAAAAACATATTTAATTTATTATTAATAGGAATGATCAAGTAATAAATTTAATAGAGTGCACGATATAAAAATTGAAACAGTGTGTCTTTTTGAAGTTAAAATTTCATACACGTAGAAATTTAATAATCTTGTAGTTACTTTGCACGTCGAAATTACATAATTAATCCATTTGCTAGAGAGAAAAGTGAGTATGTTGAGGGCCTATTCCGGTGACATCCAGCCAGCTACTCGTTTCGAAATTGGATTTGCTTGAGGTTTCGTTACGGTCACTCACGCTAACGTCGTTTGAATTACTCGCGGTGGTCCCGTAACCGCGATATCGATTTCACGTTATCACATTCACTTTCGACAAACCGCCTCGTATCTTTCGTAATGAGCATTAGGTACAACGAAGGCCGCGATTTTTGATCGGTTATTACGGGGAACACGGGATTTCGCGTGTAATCCTACCGCTCATCCGGTTTAGTGATTATCGAAGGATGGGAGGGTAGTCGAGGGTGAAACAGATAGTCCTCATTATCCCCGTGAAACTAGTGCTTAAACCAGAGATGGGAAACCTTTTGGCATTCGAAGGTCCTACGTCACTTTCGAAATTTCTTAAAAGTTTGCATTTACAATGTATTACACAAGATACACGAATTTATGAATTAACCAAATTCAAACAACGATGAGTTTCTCTAAAAGGAAGGTAGAACGAAAGTAAATCCCGCGTTTCGTACACAAAAATGAGTCAGAAGTTTCCCTCTGAAGGATTCCACCCCCCTGGCTGCCCGAGGCAACGAAGACATTTCTTTCTCTGCGGAAAAGGCCTCTTATCGCCAGTGATTACGACTTTTTAACGGGGATTTCCTCCCCCCTCGTCTTATCTGTCCGCAGTTCTCGTTTCCTTTGCCCTTCTGGATGCTTCTGCCACCCTCGAAGACCGCTTTCGAACGTTTCCGCGCTTGTAACTGGATTCCCACCCGTCTCTGGGACTATCATCGTCAACCCCTTTGCGACCTCGTCGAACCGAGGCTCCTTCCTTTTTTTCTTCCGCCTTTAAGTTTGAATTCGATTTGCATGTGAAAGAATGCCATTCAGGCCGACGGTCTGCTCCCGGCCTTCAGGGGGTTGGTCCGTTTCTTGAAGCGTTCTCGACCAGAGGTCCACTCGAGGCCAGTCCTGTGTCATGCAAATTTTATTATTGTGACCGCTGTCGGATCCGACTGACGCGTCCGTTCTTTCGACGACGCTCTTTTGCACGATTCGAACCGTCGTTCGCGTACTTTCGAGTGCTCGGATTGCTCGTTGATCAGTTTTCAGGTATTATGTGTACAACCTTGCTTCCACCGTTTTCCAATAGCTGGCTTTAGCAGTAAGTGATGGTCGAAGTAAATAGATCGTAAATGTCATTCAAGTAACTTGGACATTTGTCAACATACCAGGTTGGTTCGATGAGTCCTTAGAAAATCCAACACACCTCGCGCTCGTAGCGTCGAAAGTTGTTTGTTTTTAGCGAGCATCATGACTCGCTAGAACGCTGTCAAAGTCTCAATCATATACACGGTGTGGTTTTATTTTTATTGTCGATTGAAGAGAGGAACTTCCTCTTGCATGAAGACAATGCACGGGTAACATCCATTATTTTTATTGTGCTTACTATGTATACTGTGATATGAAGTATTCGATCGACAGAGATTCAGTACGTTTTGAGTGAAACAGACCATGTAATTAGATTCCATTTCGCTCTCATTAGTAGCATAATGCAAACATTGTGGACAAACATGTTTTTGTTCGCAGTGCCTCCGAATATAGAAGACTTCCAGACTTCGTCGGACGCCATTGTACGGGAGAATTCCAACGTCAGCTTGACGTGCAAAGCGTCCGGAAGTCCGAAACCACATATAAGCTGGAAGAGAGACGACGCATCGAACATTACAATTAATAAAATGCTATCGGGTGAGTACTCTTCGTATTCAGAAGTAACAAGCAAACATGTGACTTAACTCTCAAATTAGCTTTGAATAAAATACAAACATAGATACGCCGTGGATTAGTATTTTTCAATCTCTGAAACATTTTACTTTTCTCGTCGAAGCGATACTTGAAACCCAGTATAAAACCTTTCATAAACAAATGTTTTAAAGCGATCGAGAAACAGAAATTCAGCAGATTTAAATCCGAGGAACGAGCTAACCAGGCATAGATCCTCCATGACCTATTTATTTGTCAGACGAACGTTCGTTCTAGGACAGTCTGACTGCTCGGTTGAAATATGGATGCGCACCAGCATTCATAAACCACGTACGACGTACAGTATCTAATGGAATTTCTTCCAATAACTCGAGCAATTGATTACTCAAGGCACAGATCTTGACACTTTGATAACCAAGACAGACTTGTCAATCGTCATATTTTATACGTTTGAATTAATAGTATTCAGAGATAATATCGCGTGCAAAAATAGAGAAACAATTTAATTCATCAGGACGAAACGTTCGAAAAGACTGGCTCGTAATTATTTTTCAGCGTTGAATATTTTATTTGTAAACGTTTCTCGAAATTCAAAAATCGTCGGGATTGACGCGGCGTTGGCGTGTTTCTCTAACGTTTGCATTTATTTCCGTACTTTTGACGAGTACCTCGCGCGTTAAGTGTCTCTCGCAGACAGAGCCAAAACGTTCTAATTACATCGCGGGAATCAAAGGACGCGGCTTCGCTTTTCTCAGCCGACGAGAATCGGAGTACGTCTTTGGTGCCTTAAAACACGAGTGACGTCGATCCGTGACCGGATTTCGATAGATTCGGCGAGCACACCACGCGGCAATTAAAAATAATGATATTCGGTCTGGCTTCTGTCCGAAGATCAAACGCCGCGGTGTCTCGAAAACTGTGTTACCGCTGTCAGAGGGAACGGCTGGAGGGTTGCCGATGGGAGAAAAAATCGCGGACCACGGTGCGTCGAAAAAAAAGGAAGAAATTCAAAAAAAAGAACGAAAGAAAGTGTTCCTCATTAACGTTGGCACGCATTTCGAGGGATCCAGGGAACGCGCGCGTGTGTATGCATACGTTCGATGTCGTTAACGACAACCGGATGGAAAATTTTCCAGCTCCCGTAATTATCTTGGCCGCGGAATTCGAAAAACGAGTCGTTCAAGTTGGTTGTTTTTCTCGCGCGCGTTAATGGGTCACGGCGTGCACTAATTTCTGCGCAGATAAATAAGGGTTCAGAGCTGAGTCTTTGAAAGTTAAGCGTGCAAACATTGATGCGGGAGGAAATTAAAAATTCGAAAACTATTCATAAATTTAAAATGGGGAATAGAACGATCGAGGAACGTAAAATAAGATCGAATTATGGCGTGTGTATTTATCGTCGTCTCGTGATATTTTAAGAATATTTATGTTTCTTTTGTTCCAGTGCCAGAGTGGAAGGGTGAAACATTAGAGATTATGCGCATCTCGAGATTAGACATGGGTATTTATTTGTGCATCGCGTCCAATGGCGTGCCTCCGTCTGTGAGCAAGCAGATCAAAGTTTCCGTCGATTGTAAGTAAATCTTTCTATTATATTATTGTCCCAACGAAAATCGAAACGAAAGGCTTAATTTTTCATTTATTTCTATTTAAATAATTAACTAAGAAATAAGATAGATTGTAGTAAATTAATTCGATTTGTCCATTCATACATTTTACAGTATGATGCTTTATTATAATTTCCGTATCTAGAATCATACGAATGTATTTCATTATTTGGTTCATTAGCTACGTAATTCCAGTTATTTGTTAACAAGCAAACCAATTAGTGCGCGATTCATTTTGTCGAATAAAATTAAAGGTCAGTTAAATCTCGACGTTCTATTTAGCAGGAAATTGACGTTGAACGGAAAAATTGAAATTTCCAATTCGTAGTGAGAAGTTTTAAATGAAACTAATTGACATTACTACTGCACTAGTTATTTACATTTCATACAACATATTATTTCAATATTGCAAGAAATATTTTCGTTTATTTGAAAAATACCGAACAAATAAACGAAGCAATATATAGAAAACATTCGGTACCTTTCAATTACGCGTCCACTGTCCACAGAATGTTTTTAGGTTATTCCATTTTACCAACCAACGTTTCGATCAAATTTATATACGGAGTCTGTGTGCATCTACAAAATTGCATTTTTTCTATATTGAAAATATAAGAAGTAAACGAATATATTTCGAACCATGAAAATCTTTGATTATATGTTTTTACAATAAAGGAAATATTTCGTTGTGTAAAAATTAACTCATCTCTCGCATATCTTTCACGCGCGTTTCGCTTTTCGTGTCTTTACACGTGTAAATAACTTGCGGTGCAATAATGTTAATTAGTTTCGTCAAATGCTTCTTGCCAGAGGTTGCAGTTCATTTCATATTTACGCGTTATTAAAAGTTGCAGGCCATACACTCATTTGCTCGCTAATTAAAAGTTGCTCCGTAACACACACTGCGCCAGTTATGTCGCGAATATGCCTTCGTTGATTCGGGTTACCTTGAAATTACTGACAAATCGCCAACAATATTTTCCAGTTATCCCAGTGACACTGACTTTCGTCGACACTATTTATTTATCGACGCGTTTCCCTTTTACGTCCATGATTGCGCGACAAATATCGCCAAGCAGTAATGAAAACTGAATTAATGTATTTCGAATCGAAATAACCCTGATTGAATATCATTTGTTTCGAAAAAATCGTTCGAACGCGTTTCCTTGCGAAACGCGAGTCGAGGATCCTCGAAGCGGGGGCTCGTCAGGAGGGGGTGGCGGAAGAACATTTAATAATAGAGAAAGGTGTCCAACAACAAAGCGAGTCTTTGCTACTTGCACTTTGGCTCTTCCCGATGAAAGGAGACAAGGGGGGGAGGATAAGTGTGCACGAGAGTCAGAGAGGAGCGGAGAAATGGCGCGTGAGTCGAGCGAAAGAGTGAAAGCGTACGGCGCGGAGGGTGGAAGAGCTGCCCCGACGGGACATAAAAGTAAGCTCGGGCGAGCCACGACACACCATTACCGTTTCCAGCCCGTGTACTTGCCTATTGTTACGTTACTGCTTCTCCTAAATACCGAGCGCGTGCCTTTCCTCTGTCGCGGCTCCTTTTTTTTCCACCCTCGACGCGAGAAATGCTCTAGCTAGCTCCAATCAAACGTTTTCCACTGCGTGGTCCAAGCATCGGCTAGAGGAAGGATCGTTTTCATATTTAGAAAGGGGATGTGATGTCAAGTAACAAGTAACGACACTTTCAGAGAACACGTATCGTTTCCCTGCTCGAAGTATATTGTGCTATAAAGTTACGAGGCTACCTATTACATCCTGGTGCTTCTTAGTGCTAGCTGTACATCGGTTCATCCGCGATCCTTCATTTTCTCCAGTGACTTCCAACGTTAACCAAGCACCTGTTTGTCCACAAAACTCTAATAAAAATCCTAAGCTTCGTATCCGTTAAACCCTTGCCCTTAACATACGAAAACTAACAAATATTGTTTGTATTTGTCTACATAACGTTCTTCTTATTTGATGTAAAATTTTATTCAACGATTAAAGAAATATTCTTGTAGGTCTAATAATCATTGCAAAAATTTTTCTATGAATTTCTTTGTCCAGATTGTTCGAACGTAAGATTAAAATGATTAAAGATAAAACTTTGCAGTGAGAATAGTCCCGTTATACCGTGGAATGATTTCCTTTATCGCGTCTCGGCTGGTGAGGTCGTCTACCAATCAAAACAGTGGATTAACGTCACGGCGAATGCCTCGTCCTTGAATCCTACAATTAGGAGGAGCTCTCAGTTATAGCGAGTCCTTTCTATCGCGAGCAACGTACACCGGTCCAACTCTGTCACGTAATTCGCATTGTTGTGATTCCGTTTCACGCATTAATGGATGTTTTTAAAACCGATATTCAAGCCAGTGAACAGGAGAAGCTAGTTTGAATCTGAAATTCTGATTCCTTATTCGTGAATAAAATTTACTTAACTAAGGCATGGATCAATTCTCGGGCTCGTTTCGTATAAGAATTGTGAAGTGTATCTTGATATCCAGTTTCTAGCTAATATTGGATAACAATAAATAAATCTTTGGTATTTTATAACTGATTAAACATGTTAATTCGCTTGTGTATTCTTGCGAGTGAAAGGGTGGAATCGAAATTGTTTGAGCAGAGTGAATTCGAATTAGGATGATTGTCGAAATCAAGAGTTTTAAAAGTACATACGTAAAGAGGCGTGTTCGCGAGTAGGAAGTTTTGTTACGGGACGTGATAAATTGATCCGAGTTTATAGGAGTATATTTGAATATTCGACGAAAAGTTTGGCGAATTTTAGCTTGATGAAAGTGATGTTTTATTGTCACTCGATCGCCAGGCTTCCCTCTTTGTAGGATTGAAAATTTTGTGCAGAAAATGAGAACGTTCCGTTTCTGGGAAAATGATATCAGAGGAATTAATGTCATTTTCAAATAATTTTTCAGTAGATTATGGCCGTTCACTGTAGAATTGATACACTTTTCAAATGATTTCCAATTCTATACTATCTTTGGTGATCTGTTGGACCATCGTATTCGTAAATATTCTGTTTTATTTCACCCAGTCCAGGAGCGTAGAGAAATTAGGCCGAAATGTAATTAAAATATTGAGTGGCTCTTAAATAAATATCAATTTTTATATACCTGAAATTGTTAGTCAACGTTAAATTAGAAACGAACCACAATCAGTATATTTAACCCTGGCAATGCGTTGGCTTCCGCAAAATAAATTTATTAACAATTCGAATATATAAACAGTTTAATTCCAAACCATTACCTAGCTCATATCCCTTTCAACATCGAAGTTTGACTATTTCTTTCTAAGTGATTGTGTATGTTGCCTCGATGACCAGAAAATCAATGTGTCTTCGAATCATGGTAGTCGATGATTCTACTATAAGCGATGCAGATGTTACCCTGTTCTAATTGCTCGAACTGATAAAGTAATTATGTCGTGAACCGCGGCGGAAATTAATGTCACGGGAGGTGACGGGTCCGTCGTAATCGGGCGCGATCTGAAAATTAGTGGAAAGGATAGGTTCCATTGTCGGGTAACGGGAACGAAAGGGGTCAAAGGAGCAGGCGTAAAAAGGTTGACGAGGGTCCACGCGGAATACAATCTTTCGTCGTTGTTGTGCGTTCCATCGTAAGAAAGCTGAGCCTCGCGCGCGAAAGGCTACGGAAACCAAGGAGTTATCCCTTTAGTTAAAGCGAGACTAATTAATTTAGCGGCGCCCGTAAAGAAGCGTCGAATTGCGATTCAGGGCCCGAACGGGATGGGGGCGGCTCTCGAGGAGGGGGTAGAGATGTTTTTGTCCTGGGTCTCGTCGCCGATGCGCGGGGGATTATCCTTTTAGGCGTCCTTTAATTCCATTTGTAACCGGTGCTCCGGGCAAAGGCTTTTGTCAACGAGTATTACCCCGAGCCCTTTGAAGTCAAATTGCGATCGAGTAATGTAATAGTTCTGTCCGCGATATGCATTACCGGCGCACGCCGGAATCGAATAAGAAATTCGCGAAAAGAAAATGTAATTTTCCGCCGCGAAGCGTCGGCCCGAGCAATGGGAAGCGAAGTTCCCGTAACGAGAAAATTATTTCGTCGCTTGTTCGGAAGACGTTTGAACGTCATCGAGATTCCAAGGCTGGAAACAGACGAGCGTGTCAGTGATTCTATGTATTTCCTTGTGAATGTAAAAATGTTCTGTGTTCTATGTTCATTTTGAAATCTAATTTGGTTCAGTACTAAATGTACACATATTTGTAATATTAGAATTATATTTCCGTGCTTATTATTACGGCTGGAGTCTGCTGCAAAATTCTATTGTATTTTCGTAATCGTTTTAAGTACCCACAACGTAAAATCTTAACAGCAAACCACGCAATAAGGTCTCACAATACCGCCACTTCTGAGATTTAATTTTTCCCGAGTTCGCTCGAAACCTTGTACGTGACGTTTCGCGAGTGTTTCTCCGGTGGCCGGAGAAGGAAGGTTGCTATAATTGTCGAGGTACAATAACAGTGAGATGCCTGGCACGGGAACGATGGACCATCGTTGACGGGGAAGGGTAGTTTTTCAGCTCGTAAACTTGTAATGTCATCGAAACGATGGGGATTGGTGGTATGTGTCCGGCCGTTTAATTAATCTTCGCTCGAGCACGTAAAAACGCCCGAAACGTGCTCGAATTATCGCCTTTAATTTCATCAGTTTTACCCTGACGCTGTCATAACACGTGGATTATACCTTAACATACATATTTATATTTTTAATTATTCATTATTTGTAACATATACAGTTACCGTATATTATATGGCGATACAGTACTTTCTTACGAATTCTTTCCATTTATTTTTAACTGTTTCATGTTACTTAGTAATACTTCTACCCAACATTAGTTAGAAGACCATATATCTTACATTTGAAAGTTAAGAGTGGGAGTAACTACGTGTTTCTGCATGTCGTATGAATGTTTGAATCGTCTCGTGACATTTGAACTA